TTTCACTCTGTTTGGTGGGAGAGAGCGGTCTACTGGGGACAGAAAAGGGGGTTGACGAGTCCTAGTTTTCTTACTGTCCTGTCTTGGCGTTCGCTATGGGAGCAACCAGGCGACGCTTGCCAACATTTCGGGTTTTGGCGCAGAAAGACTGCTTCTTAGGTTTTTAGTTTTGGAGAAATAAGATTTAGGTCTTCACCGGAGTATGAGCTGAGGGGATTGCCTTAAGTTGTGGATTACCAAGTATCCCCCTCATCTCAACTATTAGTCGAATGGTGGGTACCTTGATTGGGCCCTTAATTGGGTCAGTTCAGGTCACATAGTTTCAGACTTCGACCAGTGGACGTTCGGGTACTTGCACTTGTGAGCTGGTTATTTCCACTGTGCTTCAACTGCCAGTTAGTTGTATGCTGGAGGTTGTACCTATAAGAGAAGAGATGAAGAGCAGGAGCGCCCTCGGGAATCAGTAGTAGTCTCAATCATTTGACAGGCGCCACACCTCAGCGGACTGCTACTCCTGCCATGAGAGCTTCTCGGGGACCGAAAAAAAGATGTTTTACTAATTGTGCTTGAGGTGTGTGATGTGTAGGAGTGATAGCGAAATGGACAACGGCTACAAAAGGGGGATGTGGGCAGTGACTGAGACTTGTGCTGGTCATACTCTGGAAAAAACTGGTCCCAGCAGTTATCTAGTCTCCGTTTAAATTGCAGAACACTAGTTGCTGCTACCATTGTAGATGGAAGCTTGTTCCATGCGTTTACCACGCGGTGAAGGGAAAATTGTGCCTTGGCACTAGCTTTGGCCCGTGGTTTCATTAGCTTCAGTACATGCCCTCTGAGGGTTAGATGGAGATTTGGCGTAAACAAGGATCTGTTTGCCATTGACAGTCCTTTGAGCTGCTTGAATGTCTCAATCAAGCTACCCCTCAGTCGACGGCGGTGCAATGAGAATAAGTCAAGGATCGTCAGCCGTTCATTTTAGGACTTACCCTGCAGTCCACTGATCATCCGAATGAACCTTCTTTGCATTGCCTCAAGCAGTTGCTTATCCCCTACTAGGGGAGGGGCCCACGCCTGGACACAGTACTCCAAATTTGGTCGAACAAACTCCTTATACAGTGACAAGAGCATTTTAGCCTCCCTCGATATTACCGTTCGGTAGAGTTGGAGTAAGGCTCTATTGGCCTTCGCTACGGCTGCCGCGCATTGCATTGAGCGATTAAAGCATGAGTGTATCTGCACCCCTAGATCCCGGACCACATCGGTAGATTCTATGGTTTCCGTCGACCCAGCGCCTAGTTGACGCACTTCCGCTGTCCCTGTGTTCAGCAGCAGTTACTCGCATTTGCTGCCGTTGAGAGGTAGCTCCCATGTGTCCCCCCAGCCATGGATTTCGTTTAGTACATGCTGTAAGTCCCCCGATGGTGGATTCTCTACTACTTTCAGATTATTCGAGAATAGAAACCCGGGGCATCGGAAGATCTCAGTGACGTCATTAACATACAGCACAAATAGTATGGGACCAAGGACTGAGCCTTGAGGTACCCCCACTACAGGCCTCTGCCGTCTCCGAGATTTCCTGTTCCACCCTTACACAGAAAGTCCTCTCGTGTAGGTACGCTTCGATCCACCTCACTAACTGCTGGTCTACCCGCAGGCCTCCAGTCTGTGCAGGAGGAACCTGTGGTTGACCGAGTCGAAGGCTTTCCTGAAATCAAGGTGGAAAACTTCGACTCGATCCCCTGTGTCAGAACTTTATGTTACTTCTTCCAGAAATGATAGGAAGCTAGTGAGACACGACTTTCTGTGGATAAAGCCATGTTGTTGGCCAACTATGAGGTGTTGGTCGTACAAATATCTCACCTACCTCTCCCTAAGGTGACGCTCGGTTTTTCAGCTTGCACAGGACAAATATGGCTCTTGCCAATCGAACATTCAGTTCTTTGTGTTTTCGGTGGATGGGAGTAGCTTCCAACACTGCGTACAGTTCATTAGGTATTTTTGATCCTCTCAACTTAGCCCCGTTTTCAGAACGTTGACTCAGTTCAGTTTTCACGAAAAACTATTTCTGGCTCTTGCCAATCGAGCCTCCGAGTTCGTGTTTCCTTGGCTTCCAACAATTTGATATGCAATTTTTCTGAAAGTCAGAATAGTTTGGTGCAGTATCACATCCTTTGTGGCCAGGTTATAGGTGGTAATAAACGCTTACTTCAGGGAAAAATGTAGTGAACAATCAAATCCCTTTTTTTCGGAGAAAATTTAATTTCTCTAGGTCACATTCCTAGCAAATTCTCCGCACATATATTTTTACGGATCCGCTCTAGTTCATATAATTTCAGATTATATTTATTTCTGGATTGGGTTTCAACAGTCATTTATAATCCAATTTTGCCATTTTTGCATTCCAAACGTACGTTTTTCTCCCGGGCACGATTCTGTCAATTTATCCATCGTTTCTACAAGCTCATATATAATTACGGTTAACCATGACTATTCCCGAGTGTAAATATGCCGTCGACACCGAAGTTGTCTGGGCCCAAATCGGGGCCCCCGAGTTCATGCTAGAGGACCCGGTGGCGTTCCTTGCACTTCTAGAATCGCGATTCCACGAAGCCCGCGTCACCGGACAACTATCACGATACCATAAGCTGTTGCCCACAATTCAGCGTGGTATGCTTAGCAACGTCAGGAATATTTATATGAGTATCCCTGCGCACAACCCCTACGACTAGGGTTTTACGATGAAGCGCTTGTGACAATACTCTGCCCGTCGGAAGTATTGAAGTAACGAGAACCAGAGTGTCCTACAAAGAAGTAACATACAATAGCAGTCCTCTTTTAGTGTATGGCTTCCGGATTGCTTCAAATGGGAAGATGGAACCATCGTTAACAATAAGCCAATTCATGCCTGAAGTGTGCTCTTGGGCATCTAAATTCATATTTAGCTGTGTACAATTAACCGCCCTTTCGCTCTCTGGAACATTGTTTACGGAGTCACTGCAGTTGTCTAACCACTTGCAAAACCGGAAACCTCACTCGCTAAGCGCTACTCTTAATTGATCCGCGAAAAGAATTGCTTCTTCAGCATCGTCAAACGATGCTAAACAGTCGTCGACGTAAAAATATCGTCCAATTGCACATCTCACTCGATCATTGCCTATGTCTGTGAATGATTCACCGTGCGGCATAAGGGGCAGTTCGTACCAAATGGCGACGAGGTGGCACCAAATGGGTGAACAAAAATTCTATATTCCTTTGGTTATTGATTGGAATCTCCATCAAGCCACCATAGGAACCTTGATGCCCCCGAGTCACGTTCACGCACTCTAACCTGTAAAAGCATCTCTTGTACGTCTGCTGCTACAGCTACTTTGCCTAAGCGAAAGCGCAGCAGTGCTCCAGCTAAGTTAGTTACGGTATTTGGTCCTGACAATAAGTCAAAAACACAGAGTTGCACAATGTATCCTGGATCATTTCGCTGCATCTGTATACGTGCATAATGCAGTCTATATGATCAATAATATATGGTCAGTAAATAACAGAATCATAGGCGGAGAAAGATTGCGGTCAAAATTGCTCACCAAACACATTTATTACCAAGGTAGCGCCAGAGTGATAACCCATTCACGCTGTTTACACAGTTTGGGATAGTAACTTTGAATGGCTAGTGCCTTGGCCAAATCTAACTGTATCTATCAGTTCAAGTGTAGATGCTCAGCCATCTACATCGGCAGAACAGAGAGACAACTGCGTTATCGAAAAACCGAGCATATCCCAGTCTGGCTTCAGAAAACAATGGGTAGAAACTTCGGAAGTATGAGGTCACCAATGACCCGTAGGAAACTCAGTTCGTGGATCACACAACACCTGGTCGAAATGAAACACTGTGTTATGCTGCGCGATGCGTTCAGAATCCTCTACAACACAAACACCACCAAGGTTCTGAAATACGCCAAGGTACTAGCCATTCAAAACTACCATCCCAAACTATGTAAAAAGCTTATCACTCTGGCGCCACCTTGGTAACAAATGTGTTTGTTGAGTAATTTTAACCGTAAACTCTCTCCGCCTATGATTCTGTTATTTACTGACCATATATTAATGATCATTTAGACTGCAGTATGAACGTGTACAGATACAGCGAAATGATCCAGGATACATTGTGCAAACCTATTTTTGGCTTCTTTATTCAAATTTGTTACGGGGAAACTATGCTTCCAATCACTAATGTGCCTTTCTGGGAAACGACGGATTTCACATGAGATTACATCGAACACGGAAATAGACATTGGATTACCCGTTGAAGGAAAGCGAGAGCTGTTCTACTTGTGCACATATAATGTACCATCGGTCCTCGACAGCAAATTGTATCGCCAAAGTATGGTATTGCAATATTTTCCTCATTAGTTTTTATCACGGAACAACATGTCTTCTTAACTAAGGGAAACACCTCATCTGCTGGTGTTGGGTCTACGCTAGGTGTAGAGGCTGAGCATTTACTTCTTGATGGGATTCCAGTCAAAAGCCAACTTTGCGCTCTACGTCTCGGTGGGGTCAGTGTGGGTCAACAGGTACGGAACGAAGCGCCAATGCTTGTGGGTGGTATTGGTTTATGCACCGACCGATTGCAGTACAACTGAAATCAAAAATGAATCCTACAACGATCTTTCTCAATTACTCTTAAGTATTTGATGAACGGACGTCGTAGTAATCACCGGAGACTTCAATGCCCAATGCGGATCACCGACGAAGTGTCAGCTCGCATACATTAGGCTCGATTGGCATTTGCCAAATTGAGACATCTGTGGCACCATCGCGACATCCGGCCGTTTGTGAAGGGTCGAGTGTATGCTGCAGCAGTTCGACCAGTTCTGCTATATGGGGCAGGAACTTGGCCACTAAGGGAACAGGATAAAAATAGATTGTCGGTGTTCGAACACCGCTGTCTACGTCGCATTGCACGTGTCTGGTGGGGCAGCCGGAGTAGCAATGTTGAGGTCAGGCGAAAGGTTTTAGGTAATTGCGGTCGCCCACTGGAGCTCCATAGATTACTTTAATTTGGGACATGTGCTATGCATGTCACCAGATACGTTGCCACGACGAGCGATGTTCGCCGAGGTAGGTTTTGGGTGGAAT